ACCAGTAGTTTTCAATTCCTTAGAGTTAAACATGTACTACACACTATTGATTGGAACTTTCATGGTTTTGGCAAAGACTGAGCATGTTCAAAAATCAAAGAATGTGCTCTGCATACTCTTCTGTCTCCAGGCTTTTACTGTTTCTCTCCCTATAAAAGTCCTTTTGAAAGTCCTTTGGAAGAATTCTAGCTGTATTCTGAATAAATTAAGGGAAGTAGTTTACACAATTTCTTTTTCCTGGGAGAAGAACAAGAACCAATAATCCAGGAAGCCATATCCAGCTTGAACTAAATGACATTTGGAACTGTGGGGGAGAAAGCAGTTGTGATAATTGCTCTCTTAATTCTGGAGGTTCTTTCAGATTTTCCCTAAAAATGAATCATTAGCTCTGGAGGAATATTTCTTTCTAGGGATATGGTTGAGCCCTGCTAAAAACCAACTTTCTTTCTGAGCTGTATAAGAAATGCAAGAAAATATTTAATGGACATGTATTTCATTATCATTATGGCAAAATTCTGCTCAAGTTTTTCTTCACTATTTTTCCTAGTAAACTGTAAGCATTATGAGGCCTGCTTTTTAATGCTATAAATACAATCACAGTGTTTTGTTTTAAAAAAATGTAAGTCTTAAAGAAAAATCTCTAGGTAGAGATTCTTAGAACAATGGAGATTTCCTCTGTCCCTTATATTAACAGAGAAATGTGTCTGACTAGAAAAATGTCAAGAATGGCAACAATGAATATTATTCTTATTTCTATGATTCAATCTGTGAATATTTATAAGTATTAAGTTTTTCTGGTCCCTGTTAACATAAATTCTAATGCAAGAAATCTTGCCATATTGAAAAAAGAAATAAGGCAAAAAAATATTTATTTTTGTTTCAAAACCATGACCTCACTGTTGGATTGGCATCAGGACAAGGACTGAGATTTTGGTAAAAAGTGTGATATGACAATTTTTTGCTAAAACCTCAAAAATATCAAAACATCAGAGTAATCTGGTACCCAAAGAACTCTTTCAAGAGAATAAGAGTTTTGTACTGTGCTATCAATCAAGCCAGAAGTTCTGGAGGAAACTTTAGGACACCATCCTATACAAAAACTAGCACGAGGCCAGTATATAGGAGAGTTAATCTGAAAATCACCTATGGATGTGGCTTGTGTCTCATAGAATGGGGCTCCAGTTAAATGTATCAGAAGTTCTTGAGAATATTAGTGTAAGGGAACAGATAGATGAGAATGGTGATAACACAAGGTTAAAAGTATAATTCAATAAAATGGGACCATGTTGCTGACCCCCCATACATGCTTTCTTATCCAAAAAGCAATCTTCCTGAAGCTTCACTTGGCCTCCATAGACAGAATATGTCACATCATCAGCAAACTGAGGCAAGGGACAAAGGTCAGGCAGTTAGTATAGGTAATGAATGATGGGGGTCCAGAGAGGATGAGGACTGA